CCAGAGTTTCCCCAGTGTTTTCCAGGAGCAGTTTTATAGTTTGAGGTCGTAGGTTTAGATCCTTGATCTACCTTGACTTGATTTTTGTCAAAGGTGAGAGGTAGGGGTTCAGATTCATCTTTCTGCAGGTGGATATCCAGTTTTTCCAGCACAATTTGCTGAAGAGGTTTTCCTTTTCCCACTGGATTGACTGGTACCCCTTGTCAGAGATCAGTTGACTATGTCTGGAAATTTATTTCTGGGGTAAGACCATTAAAGTGCAGGGGTCTGGTGATACTAAATATAGACAAGTAGGACTATATGAGGCTAAAAACCTCCTGAATGGCAAAGGAAACAATAAACAGAGTAAAGAGACAATATGACACACAGAACTGGAGAAAGTATTTATAAACTATGCTTAAGATAAGGGATTGGTAACTAGATTATATATAGGGAACTCAAGTACCTCACAAACACAAAAATAAGTAATCCAAGTTAAAAATGGGCAGATGAGCTGAACAGACAACTCTCTAAGGAAGACATCTAGTAAAGCATATGAAAAATTCAACATGTCTTATCACAAAGAAAATGCAAATTAATGGGATATCACTTATCCCCAGTCATAATAAGTATGATCAAAAAGAAAAAGAACAATAAGTCCTGACCAGGTTGTGGTGAAAGGGATCCCTCCTACACTGTTGGTGGAAATGTAAGTCAGTACAGCCACTGTGGAAAACACTGTGGAAAATTTTGAGGTTCCTCAAAAATACACAAGTAGAACTACCATATGAACCAGTAATCCTGATCTTTGGTATTCACCAAAGAACAGGGAACACTCAGTCAGAAACACACTTGCAAATCCGTGTTTATGGCAGCATTATTCGCACTGCTAAGACATGGGATCAAATTAAGTGCCTGACAACTGATGACCAGATTGAAAAAATATAGTATATATACACCATGGAATACTACTCAGTCTTAAAAAATAAAATAATACTGTCATCTGATTCAAAGTGGATGACTATAGAAGACTAAATACTAAGTGAAATAATCCTCACTCAATATATACCAAATGTATGCAGTCTATGGACAAAATGGAAAGATTCAAAGATATACAGGTAGGAGGGCAATTGTAGATACTGGAGATGTATGGAAAAGGGGTGGATAGTGGGAGGCATGAATGTAAGGGACTCAGGAAAAAAGCTTTTAGCAGACACAAGAACATAAGGTTCTTTGTTAAAAATGGGATGTATGGTAATATTCTTTTTTTTTTTTAGAGAGGTTTTCGCTATAGGGAGCGTGCACTCGTCAGACAGACAGAAAGAGACAAAGAGACAGAAAGCGAGAAATCACCCCCCAAGGGGGATGGTCACGCCGCAATCCCTTCTCCTCCATTCTCTTCTCGGGATCTTGGGCAAGCACACACACACGCCCGGCGTGAGTTTTAAGCCACCGGGTCCGGGACGCAAACCACGGTCGACTACGTGGGAGTCACGTGACATAGCCATTATGCTAACTGCTGGTTCCCGTGGTAATGTTCTTGATTTGATAATCATACACCACATGCATGCTTTGAAAAATCATGCTGTATGCCACAAAGATGTACAAGAATTAAATGTAAATAAGAAATTATAAAATAAAATTTTAAAAGTAGATTATAGTAAGACCAGCAGATGGAGTAATGGTTAAGTTACTGGGCTTCCACGTACTCGATTGCAGTTCGAGTCCCAGATCCAACAGCTTAAAATTCATGCCAGGTACGTGTGGATGTGTGCCCAAAATCCCAAGAGAAGAATGGAGGAGAAGGGGTTATGGGATGGCCATCCTCCCCGGGAGTTGATTTCTCACTTTCTTTCTCTCTGTCTCTCTCTGGCAACCACATGTACCCTATAGCAAAATTCTCTCCCTCAAAAAGAAAGTAGATTATAGGATACTATTGACTCAAATGCAACTAAGGAATTAATCAATGTATATACAACAGGAATTTTTTAAGTAGTAGCATTAGAACTTTTACTTTTCATAGGCTCTCAGATATCTAAACAGAAATTAGCAACCTTGGGAACAGCAGATGGTGTAATGTTTACATCCCTGGATTCCCACATAGTCAACTGGTTCGAGACCTGGACCCAGTGACTTAAAACACACCAGGCACATGTACTTGCATGCCCAAAATACCAAGAGGAGAATGAAGGAGAAAGGACTGCAGCATGGCCATCCCTCAGGGGATGAATTTTTGCTTTCTGTCTCCCCGGTGAGTGCACATGCCCTATAGTAAAAAATCTCCCTTAAAAAAAAAAAAAAGAAAATCATCAACCTTTATATGAAACAAGACATAAAATGAGAAAAAAATGAGCTTTGATTCAAATCTGGATTAAAATATAGTCATCTAAC